AGAATTTCCTCCTCATGTCTAATCTAAATCTCCCCTCTTCCAGCTTTAAGCCATCATGTCATATAAGTGATCTAATATAACACCCTTTTATAAATATCCATGGCTTCAGAAGAGTGAATTGTCAGCAGTGATATTTTGAAAGGTGTTTGCCAAACATTCATGATAAGGCAAGCCTTCAGGGTATTTTTGCACAGCTGCTGATAATTTTAAAGATAGCTTGCTTTTGGTGTTTATATTTAGCATTATGCTATGGAATCAACCAAGAGACTCAGTTAATTAAAATAGCTTAAATAGGTTCTGTTTTGGGGATTGACAGTGTTCAGGACTTGGTTGGATGTGTAAGAAGCTGGTCCAAATCTAGTCTAGCAGCACTTTCCAATTCCTAGACTATGTTACTTCAAAACGTGTATTTTTCCATATTATTTATGTTGTAACCTTCAGCAGCAGCTATGCCCTGCTTAATTTATTTTGCATATTAGGACAGCTCTGTGGAACATGTTACAATAAAATACACATTTCCTGTTTTTAAAGATTCCATCTTCTGTATAAGCAGTTCAGAAGACTGGGTAGTTTTTTTTAGGTAAAAAATAAAATAAAATAAAATAGGCTTACAGTAGTATAAATGGGCAATTGCTATATAGAAAAAAGGTGTTCCGTATAAACATCTTTGAATTCTGCCTTCCTTAACAGAGTGAAAAAGGAAGTAGTGTGCTGTCTAAACTTAGCAGCTGTAAGGTTTTGTTTCTGGTAAGTTTTCTCCTACAGTTAAATGGAAACGGCCTTGTTCTAAAATCCAATGGTATGCTTTTCAGGATTTGTTTTTGATGCTGCAGTACATATTGCTACTCTATTGAATCACATCTATTTCATAGTAATTTTCAGATTAAAGAGGATTTAATTTTTACTGTGATACAGTACTAATGATTTTTGGTGACTCTGAAAAATGTATTTTATTGAACATTGTGGTGGCAAAACAGAATCACAAGCACTGCAAAGTTAAGTAGTTGTTAGCATGAGAAGTAATTGGAAATAACAGCCCTCTACATGAAAACAATTATCCAAGACATAAGAGACTTCCCTCTCAAGTCTGTAACACAATTAACCTCAAAGTTACCTAGTAAAATGAAAGCTTGTCTCCTTTCATAGGAGAAGCTGGTGTAGGGTTTATGCTATGTGAGTAAGACTATGAAGAGAAAGCAGTCCAGCTTCAGCTCGGTGTGGCACAGGTCTTAAATTTATGCAGGATGTAGGTAGAGATTAAACATTTCTTACTGTGAGTTCTTGATGACGTAAGAGTTTGATAGGTTGTCAGTTGATGCAATGCAAGAACATACATAAGGCGAGAAAAACTTTTTTTTTGTTTGGCCAGGAAGTCTTTATAATAGTACAGGAAAATGAGAAACTAAAGGAACTTTTTTAAGGTGCAGGGAGGTTTAGAACAAGGAAGAAAATAGCATACTAAACTTCCTAGGCATAACAAGTGATTACCAAATAGGCATATCAAATATAGTCTAGTCAGACTGCTCTATCAAGGGATCAATAGGCCAAGCACCTATGCATGTGGTAAACTAGTTATAGCCTAGCAACTGTGTTTTTATACCCAAAGCTGGCAGCTTTTATGTAAAAACAAATCTCTGTTTTAGCAACAACCTGAATTATACATATTAAAGCAGCATAGAAGAAAGTTTACTTCTTATCCTCCTCTGTACAGGTGCTCTTTCTGTTTCTAAACTTCTCTAATTGGGAACAAATTTAGGGACCTTAGCTCTCCTCTCTGTTCCAAAACCTGCCGAAGATCGGCCGACTTTATCCCAGTACCTCATCCACCTCAAGTGGCCTCCTCTTCTGTGCCTGGTGTTACGCATCTAACATGGGCATTGTCTTCAAGAGTTGATAACTATGAAATCAAAAGTTTCCGATATAAGAATAATGGATATGAACGTATAGCAGTATTCATTTAATCATTGCTACATTGTGGGTGTTAGAAAAAATTCACTTGTCAGTGCTATAATATGTTAGGCTCTGAAATTACTGCGTACTAAGGAGAAATTAAATTCTAGAAACTGATAAAAACAGGTAGTAGAAATATCTAAATAGACAAAACCACCTTAGATAAATACAAGTTGTTTGTATATGTTCCACTTTTATGTGCTGGAACCAACATCATCTGTTTTTGTAGACTATATAGCTATATTTTAAAAAGGTACTTTGTAACTTGATTAAATACATGTCAGGGTCATAACTATTAAGTCAGTAGCTTCTTGCCTTAACAGAATTATATCTAATATCTGTGGAGTTAGGAGTATCTGAGCTGATTCTTTAAATAAAAATGTGTAAAAGCTGTGAAAATTCATTGAGAGTAAAAAAAAAAAATTGTTAAGGGACTTGGAAACTGAACAATTGTAAGTACCCTTGATTCATATAGATTCAAACAATAGTATCCTCATCCTATTCTTGGATTACTGTTTTCTTGCAAATCTCTTAGGATGGAGTAAGGTGATCCACCTCCAAGAGATTCTTGTTGTGAGGAAAAAAAAAACAAACTACCATAAATATCCTTGCTCTTTCTATTTATTTATTTATTTACTTATTTTTTTGAACAATGTTTCACATTCATGAAATAAATTCTGCTCTTTATTCCACTAGCAGAATTCTTCTGGGCTTATTACCCATTACATAAGTTAAAAGTAAATCTGTTTTAATTCAGTGTTCATAAAGGATGCTCATGGACCATTTCTTCTGGATATTCTGTATTGTTTCTGAGACACATGTCGTTCTGAGATTATTTTGTTTCCAACCTAATTATCTTGTATATTTTCTAGACATTTTGCACCAAATGATAATTCCTTAAGGATTTTCTCAGGCTCTCAGTAACTACCTCAGGGCTATGCCATTCTTTTGTACTTTTGCAGTTTGTCTATATGTAGAATCATATAATTGCTTAGGTTAGAACCAAGATCATGGAGTCTGACCATTAAGCTGAGACTTCCAAATCCACCACTAAAACATGTCTCTAAGCACCACATCTACATGTCTTTTAAATATCTCCAGAACCACTTCCCTGATCAGCCTTATCTAGTGCTTGATAACCCTTTTGGTGAAGAATTTTTTTTTCCTTGAATTCAATCTAAACCTCTCCTGGCCCAACTTGAGGCCATTTCTATTTGTCCTATCACTTGTTCCTTGGGAGAAGAGACACACACCCTTCTCTGTACAGCCTGCTTTTAGGTAGTTACCTATAATATAATGTTATCATAGAACTACACTATTTCAATCAAACACAAAGAAACTTCAAAAACTGAACTTACATGGCTTGAAAAAACACATGGATTAGCAAGCTCTTTTTCTGGGAAGGTGGAAAATTACTTTTAATATCCAAAAAGAAATTCAGTGTATAGACAATAATGAAAGTTAAAAATTGTAGTTAAATGGAAATGCCAAACAGAAGTTCACCTACAAGCTTCTTTCCTGAACACTCATTCCCCTATGACTTCTCTAAATTAAATTAGATGAACTGTGTTATTTAAATGAAACTGATGCAACTGTGAGTGTGCAGAAAATGGCATAATCTACAAGCTTATTTGTCCTTGTTTATCCAACCTTTGGTTAACTGAGACTCCTGGTTAACTGAAAGTCGGTCATGTCCCCTGGTAGCCATGTACACTGTGCATTACTCCCCTGCTTATCCAGAGAGACATTTGAAACCTTGAGAATAATGGAGTTGTGGGTAAGTGGGTGAGCACCGCGTGAAGCACATTGTCGTCTTGGGACATGACCAACTTTCACTTAACCAGCCATGTCAGTTAACTGGAATTTGGAAAAACACATTGCAGGAGATGAAGTGTCTGTGTGTGTGTGTGTTTATTAGCTCTCTGCTGTTATATGGTTTGTACCAAAGTACGTATTTAGGAGAACTGCAAAACAAGCCTGCTCTTTGCAATTAACCAAGGGCTGCATGTTGTTTGTGCTATGACCTTTTTTGTTAGTTGACCTTAAGCGTAGCATCAGTAGATGACAAAAGTCCTTAAAACTAAATATCTGAAGTTATTCTGCAATATCAGGCTGCTTTTGTTTTATTCATTAAATTCAATTGGATTTTAATTGCAATGTTAGATTCACAGCTGGTGAGGCTGGCTAGGTGGAGTAGCAGTATCCTGCAAGTAATTCAAATGTGTTAGCATATATGCTTTGATTGTGGAGATGCCTGCTCTCAGAGAGCAGCAGTAAGGAGCAAAGACAGCCAGTAACAACACTTCATTTCTGTAGTAGCAGCATCTGTTCAAATGATTGAGTGGCATTCACAGGGCCTTGCTTTCTGTTGGGAGGATTGCAGCTATAATACAAGGTTGTTTCTGGGAGGCAGGGAGGTGCTTCTGAAAGGCTGACTGATTCCTGTCAGACAGGTGATCCTCTGTGGGTGAAGGAGCTCTGAGGTCATCCTCTGAAAACTCACCTACCCTGTAGCTACAGAATAATGTGCTGTGGTTTTGCTGTGAGGGGAGGGTTTGGGTCTGTGAGTGGAGAGAAGAAGGGCTGTTCTCAGCTAGCAGAGCACAATCAATGACTCTTGAGTGATTTAGACTTCAGAGGATTGCCTGAATCTGTTCTTAAATATCTGCAATGCAAAAAAGAATCTGTCTGATAAAAATGTATGTTCAAGTGCATTTAGATCATACCCTGTAGTTTAACTTGCTTTAGAAAAAGATGCTTATTGTAGATTCTGAGAGACCTGGAAATACACTGAAGTTGAGAATAGCAGGTACTTTGTCCCTACAAATGGGGTCTTTAACATTGACTTGACTCTGCTGTCTTATCTAACACATGCAGATATCCAGTGTAAAATATTTCTTTAGAGCCTACTACTGCATTTTTCTACTTTAAAAGGGAGGTTGCATTTCTAGAAGTTAGTGGTACTCAGTATTGCCTTTTAAATCAAGTGTGTTAACAGGTTCTTACTATTTTCTTTTTTTTTTTTCCCCTTCTTCTTTCTTCAATTTTAGGATTAAAGAACCGCTTCAGGACAGTGTAATAGCTACCTATGAAGAACATGAAGATAGTGTGTATGCAGTTGAATGGTCCTCAGCAGACCCATGGCTATTTGCCTCTTTAAGTTATGATGGGAGACTTGTTATTAACAGGGTTCCCAGAGCTCTTAAATATCACATACTGTTATAATTTGTTTGAATTATGGTGGACTTGTTATCTTGATGTACACTATTGGTAGGTATTGTTTAAGGTTTTTTTAAGGATCTATTTTTATTAAGTATAAATGTTAAAATTTCATTAAGAATGTCTGAAGAATGTATGTACTAATACAAACACTTTTAATTTGCCTTTTGTATTTGCTTTAGAAAACTATGATGCATTTACTGGAGGCTGTGCTAATAGTTGTTTTTGTTGGGTTTTGGGTGTTTTTTGAGGGGTTATCGCTTTGAATTATAAAGTTCCTGAAGATACTGGATACTTCCCATACTCTTGCTTTATTACTTTGGCTTTATGCAAATATAGTGGATGATAGAGGTGTTCTTCTGCTGACATAAAACTGGGACAATGTATAGTGCATGTAGCAGAAGTAATCTACTTGTTTACAAGAATTATATTTTATCATTCTGATATAAGCAGCCTTCTGCTCTTAGCTAGGGCTACATTCTGCTTACTATTCTGGTCATTCTTCAATGTTTATAGATATATCTGGGAATGGTCTTATAAAAGGCTTTCTTAATTCAGTTTGAGATTTGAAACACTTTCTCCCATTTTGCTTATCCTCAGAAGAAATGTTAATTGTGAAAGTGAAGCCTTCAAGTGAAGCCTTTTTCATTTAAGCCTTATGGCAGTATCAATAAAATATCATCCTTTAATTTGCAAACTAAATGAAGTTTTGAATGATATGTTGTTAATATTAGTCTTTAGCAAAATGTCTTATGTTCACATAATTTATTATCCCCTGTTTATGTAACTTAGTTGTGCTGTAGAGTATTTTGAGGGACTCTGGAGCTATGCCACTCTTAACCTGAAAAATCTCTTTCATATTTCTAAGTAGTCTCTCTTTCTTATCCTTTTGTCTCTGTGCCATTCTGCAGTATGCTGACATGATGTAGCAGGCTTTCAACTAAGCAGAAAAAAAACCTTTGCTATCTCCTACTCTCTGCAATACCTGACCTAGGGATTGGTGGCTCTTTTTGCAAATGCTCAGAACAGGCAGATGCTGCCCTCCAGGAGAATGCACAGAAAACTTGAGATATAGATGGAAGGCATGGCAAAACGTGCCTGTGCATATGGACAGCCCCCTTTCCCTTGCATAGCTGATTGATAATGAAAGTGATGCTGCTGTTCTTTTTGCTCCCAGACTAACAGCGGCAGTAATTACTCCCTGATGTCCTTTCATCACTATTGTTTCCCGTTAACTTCAGAACCTGGATATGTGTAATGGTACTAGTTGTGGTAGTATTGTGTATGACCACTCTGAAGAAATGGCAAGAACATAGGATGGAAAGATCAATACCAACCTCTTCTCATTATTCCTTTTGTTGCTATGGCAACTGTTTGTGTTAGTGTTGAGGGACAGCCTACTGCTCACCTCTGCTTGTCCTTACTCACTCTTGGATCGAAACATGTCCAAATGTGATTTGTTGTGTATACACAGCTGCTTCTCTGAGAACATGCTTTGAGACCATGAGTGCCTGCTATAGGCCAAAACATCGAGAAAATGTGAAAGTTAAATTCTATTTCTGGCTTTCTTAAAAGAGCTTGTTTGCAAGAACTCATAGGGGCGAAATAATCTAATTAAATAACCTGTACTGTTGTATTTGTGTTATAATTTTTACCTGTCTTCTTGAGAGGGAAGGCTTTGTTGGAAATCCTGATGGTCTAATTTTCTGCAATAAGATTTTAAACGTGTGCTATTTCAAAGTCTCAATCTGTACCTAGGCATGAGTTATTCACCTATATACTGTAAGAACAATTACATTTCTGAATCAGTAGTGCTTCGTTTGTCTGAATATCTAAATCCTTAGTGAGGCTGTAGCTTTATATGCGGAGCTTTCAGTCTTCCAACACAAAACCTTATTCATTGGGGTTTTTTTTCCCCAAAAAAAACAAACCCAAAATCCTGCAGTATATCTTTAATATGCAGAAGAACTCTTTAAAATTTTCTTCACATGAACAATAAGGTCTAATGAAACTTCATTGTCTGTTAATGTATGTGTGGAGTGGTGACAGGTTGCAGTGTGGAGGTGACAGGAAATTGCTTAACAGCACAGGGATTTGATTTGTGACATGTAATAAATGTGGGACAGCTTTCAGACTGATTCTGATGTGGCTATATTTCTTTTAATATTGTAAACTTATACAAGCTGGAAATTTCTATAAACAAATAATATAAAAATATTTTCTTTTGTTTTAAGTTTTGTTAAATGTGTATAATGTCACTTAAGCAGGGTTGAAGATGGGGTGGACATTGGGAGGGGAGGGAGTAGCAGGTGAATTTGAATTAAATGTGTTACAGTAGAATCAAGAAAGCAGAAGTGGTAAAGTTTTAATCATTTTCATCTGTCTGTAAAGCAGGATCTGAGCTACATGTACAGCACTGGCAGCACTATGGAAATAACCTTCAGAAAGGGAAGGCTTTTGACAAGGTTTCATCCCAGGCTGTTAGGGAAAGCAAGCTGCTGCAGGATAAGAGAAAGGGATCAAAGGTGGTTAAATAACTGATCAAAAGAGAGGAAACAGGAAGCAAGAATAAATCATCACATTTCATGGCAAAAAGACATTACCAGTGAAGTCTTGCAAGGATCTGTGCTTAGGCCTATGCTTTACAGTATACTTCTGAACTTTTTTGGAAAAAAGGCTGCATAGAGGTATGGCAAAGTTGGCAGATGCTGTTCAAAGTAGTAAAGGTGACTGACTGGAGAATTCTTTAAGGGCCATAGTTTGCAGGGTGGCTGCATGCTAACATGGTGGTACATGAAGTTCAGTGCAGGAAATGTAAAGTAACAGGTACGGGTGAAAACAGTTGTACCTAACTACTGAGGACCACCAGTGTATGGCGATTACTACTTGGAAGAAAGATCTTAGAGTTTCCATAGATCTTAAAAAATTTCAGGTTAATAGAGGTTAAAACTTTAATTAAAATTATGGGAATTTCTAGAAATCAGTACAGAAAAAAATTAAAATGTTAATCTATTAAATAATAGATATTTATAAATCTGTAGTGTATGTGCATCTTGAATACTGTGTGTAGTTCTGGTTTCTTCCATCTCAAATCCAAGATAGTTAAACTGGGAAAGATTTTAGAGAAGGGTGACAAGAATGATGAATAGCATGCAGCACCTGTGTGAGGATAACTAAATAGACTGAAGGGCAGATGGTTGAGAGGGAATGGTAGAAGTCCATAAAATCACAAGTGTTAGAGGGAGAGGATGAATAGGCAGTGATTGTTCACTCTCTCTCCTGATTCCAGAACTAGAGATTGTTAGATGGAATCTGCAGGTGGTGGCTCAAAGCATACAAAATGAGGTGGTCTCCACAGTGGTGCAGGTGAGCTATGGCACTCATTTTTAGCAACCCCTTCCCACTGCAAAGAAAACAAACACACCTCAAGAAACAAAACCCAGATCTCATTAATGTTAAAGTTTACATGACTTGAAAGTAACTGAAACAGTAGTTGAATCCATCAGACACTGCTAAATATAAAGGCAGCATCTCTGGCTTAGAAAATTATTTTAAACCATGGGCTGCTGGACACCCTGGAGACTACTGGAAGAGAACCCCTGTGTGTTTGTCCGATCTTTGCTTACCTCCCTGGACATGTGCTATTTACCAGCAAAGGTAGAAAATAGAGGTTAAAAAGAATAACTAAGTCTCTAAAGCTTTGCCTCTAGTGCTGAGACAGCACTTCACTTTTCCTTCACTTTTCTCTTTCACAGCTGTTTACTTTGGTTGCAAGTTGTGTTTTAGGGGATTTCAGAAAACACTCATGCCTCAGATGAATTTCTTCTTAAAGAATCTCAGTATTTTTTCTAGAATCTATCTTGCTGCAAAATGTTTCTTGGCAGTAAGACTGTGAAGGCAAGCTGATTTCTGTACAGCAAGGAGTCCATCACTGCTTCCCAAATTCAAATAATGGTTAATTGATCTCACAGCACTGGGTCATTCAGTGTCTCATAGAGAACTGTTTATGCAGTTTATATGTCAGCATTGATAAGCACATAATGGTTGTGTTTTCAAATACCTCATAAATTATTTTTCTTTCTTTGTAGACTGTGACCAGATAAGAAGGTTTAATACATTTTGCTTTTGATAAAGTGAATTGTGGTATTCCTTAAAACCGTCAGATTGTCAATTTTGCCATCTAAAAACTTGTTTTATTCCAGATTGGGTGCTGAGAATTTTTACTTTGTCACCAATCTCAATATATGTGGTATGGAATTACAAAAATGCTTGAGATGTGGTATTTTTATTTCATAGAAAATGAATTATTGAAGGAAAAAGGAATTGATACTTTTTTTTTAATGTTTTGAGCATGATCTAAATTAAACTTGTCAAAGTCAATACAACTGTTGGCCATTTAAAGAGAAGCCTAAAATAACAATGTTTCATTTGAAATAAAAATAGTGCTAAATTCAAATCAAGAGAAAAAACACACCACCAAATACCGCAAAGCAGACCCCCTCAGTGCCAACCTGGACTTTGCCTGTGATGTTGGTTCTAAAATTCACTTGACCTCTACTGAAGCCCATGAAGTTAACGAACTGCTTGTCAACACTGGAACTAATGAAGTACGTGGATGGCACAGGTAAACTTGACATGTATTCTAGACTGATTCTTACCTTGTACCTTTTCATTTCACAAAGGTGAATTGAAATAACAAGCCATATGATCTTAATCATGCTCAACACTCAAATTAGTTGAAAACAATGCTTTGTAAAGAATTAAGCTGCCTGACCATTGTATTTTCCACTTGACAACAGAAAGCATTAGTTCTATATTTTCCTCTTTTTTCGTAACTCCCAAATCTTACAGCCTAATACCTCTTGCAGTATTTGAGACAAATTCAGCAGCTTGTTTACAATGGCCTTCAACAGTATTGTCTAACATGGTAAGACACCATGAAGTAGCTATGCCTTTGACATAACTGAAGTAAAGTGGGTAATGATAACTGTTGAGATCAGTATTTGGATGCAGAATCATAATGTTATAGAGCTGCTCTTTCGCTTCACTGAGAATGTCTAGGGGTTTTTTGTGTTGTTTTTTTTTTCTTTTTTTTAGGGGATATGAAGAAAATGCCTAAAACTTTGTTTTAGAGCCTGTGGTATGAATGCTGTTCTGCAGCTGCAGAAAGCCTGTGATTT